GAGAAAAACCAAAGAATATATTTCTGATGTGCAGCAAAAGATAATTGAGCTTCACAAATTAGTGAAGTGGCTTTAAGAAAAGAGCTAGAGCAGTGAAAATTCCCATTTCCACCATCAGGGCAATAATTAAGAATTTCCAATCAACAGAAAATGTTACAAATCTCCCTGGAAGATGACGTGTGTCTATATCGTCCTAATGCACAGTGAGGAGAGTTTGAGTGGCTAAAGACTCTCCAAGGACCACAGCTGGAGAATTGCAGAAAATAGTTGAGTCTCAGGGTTTATATATGTGTGTGTGTGGTTCAATCGATTCATTACATACAAAGCTAACAAAAATACGTGACTGTTACGCAACTGCCACGTAATCTGATGACCAAACTTTCGTTGTGGCAACTGTTTAAAAAATACTTAAATATTTGTACATGCACATTTTGCAATAAAAATAATAATTAAAAACATCTCCACAACTTAACATTGTGACGTTATCGTAGTTGCGACGTGACGTCACAGTAACGTCGTGGATCAGATAGTTGTGTGTTGGTAATCTGGTACTTTTATTTTTAAATGCATTTTTCAATGGGCGGACGTACAGTAGCTAACCTAATTTATGTCTTCATTTGCCCAAATTTATTTTAAAAGAAGAGAATGAGGAATGAAGACTCATTCATTCTTTTCATTTATTTAAAACGCGTAAAAGTGAAATTCTGTATTTATGTAACTTTGTAATGTACGTCAGTAACTGCGATGTGGCAAATTCTATCAAAAGTATCAACATTTACAATATTATCAGATAATATTTACATGAATTAATGCATTTAAATTCGGTACTGAACAGCATCATATGTGCTATCAAGGGTGCTGGTGAAATTACGAGCATGCTAGGTCCTTTTACGTTGTCAGTTAGTAAGTCATGAAATGACCAAAAAGTACCAATAAGTTTGTAACTCGTACGTGGTGTGTTAGCTGGGATAGTAGGCATAGGCGATGTCCCAAAACTGCGAATTTGTAACCCATCTATAATGCCGTCTAGGTAGTCGACTCGCTAGAATTTGAGACAACCGTGCTGAGTACGTCTGTAGACCTCCCACTTAAAACGGTGGGGAGAGGGAGAGGGAGAAGTTGATTCCCAAATAAACCAACACCCAGCTTCACTCTCGTTGCTTTGAGGAGGTGATAAAGTATCCTCGCATTTTTTTTTTAATCGAAAAGGGATGGACGATAACAACGGAGGAAAAGAAAAATGGGGTCGATAACATTCTAACCTGAGGGTTTTGACTACTGGTGGAGACAGGTAACGTAATGTGAAAGTATACCGATGGAAGGGGGAATTTATATGGACATTTATAGCGTTATACCGGACGTTTGTTTTACCACAGAGCTACTGTTCAATCTGCGCGCGATAAACTAACTCGGCGATGTGTAAAACGTTGAATATATAAATTTATGAGTGCTTTTAAAAGAGCACCATATGTTGCGTGCTTGTGAATGAGTTTGAACCCGTATGGGCTGTATTTTGTGTGTGGCTGGCTAGCTGAATGAGCGCAAACAGGCTGCTTTGCTTTAGGCCCCTAAACGCATTTAATCCATCGCACGTCCTTCATATTTTCCATTATATGTCTTTTAATCTGATTTTCTAACCCTGTTCTCCATCGACACTCGGGTTTATGTGGTCTAAATGTATCGATTATGTTGTGTTTATCTTGAGAGCTGACCGCTGGTTTGTGTGTGAAGTAAAGGGGTAAACCGTTAGCCTGTCTGCGCTCTCAAGTCTGAGAAATGCAAACATACCGCATCGGGACATCACAGTTCCATTATCATACAGCAGTCTGCATACTTTTAGACAGATAAAACATTAGCAAAATGTGCTCTTCGTTTGTTGTTGCTGCTGCAAGTCACTTGTGATTTGAAGAACAGAATAGCCAGATATACAACATATGAGTGACCACCATATGGATCCGGACTTTCTTTCAGTTTTTAAAACGCCACTTTACGCTAAACTTATGGAGTGATTTTTTTTTAGATCCACTGTCCAAACAAAGTATACATACCGTTAAGCCAACATGTTTTGATTTCATTGTTTTGACGAAGTATCAAACTAAATGGTATTTATACTTCTAACGCAGACCTTTTCACAAATTAATTTTGGTTTTAAATTATTCAATAATAGATATACTCAACAAAATGAAGATAAAACGTATTGTGACTTTTTTTGGTTATCAGACGTTATGGAACATGTTCATGTGATGAACTTCACCTATGGTTACTCGGCTGGGACACTTGTGTGAACTTGTATGAGTGACCACCATATGGATCCGGACTTTCTTTCAGTTTTTAAAACGCCACTTTACGCTAAACTTATGGAGTGATTTTTTTTTAGATCCACTGTCCAAACAAAGTATACATACCGTTAAGCCAACATGTTTTGATTTCATTGTTTTGACGAAGTATCAAACTAAATGGTATTTATACTTCTAACGCAGACCTTTTCACAAATTAATTTTGGTTTTAAATTATTCAATAATAGATATAATCAACAAAATGAAGATAAAACGTATTGTGACATTTTTTTTGGTTATCAGACGTTATGGAACATGTTCATGTGATGAACTTCACCTATGGTTACTTGGCTGGGACACTTGTGTGAACTTGAGGGGAAAGGTGTATATTTATTTGCATGCTTTCTTTGTTTACTTGCATTTAGGTATCAAATGGGGAACACAATCTCTGTAGCACTTAATGCAGTTTTGAATGATTGTTATACTCATGTGAGAATAACATGTATAGGATTTAATCGGTTTATCATGACCGACTTTGATCCACCTTGGTGCTGCATTTTTTTCCCCCACAATAAATTGTTCCCATTCCCTTTGGTTGGTTGACATGAGTTAAATTTATTGTGGTTAAGGAAATAGTCATCATTCAAGCACCCTGTGTTACTGAAAACCTGTATAATTTTCAATCATGTCATAAAGCGGGTGATTAGCAGGACCTGAAGCAGGTGACCAGAAGCACCCAAGTTCCAAAAATGAACCATAAGATTGTCATGAAAGTGTTTCATACTATTTCTGCACTATTTTCCAAGTGTACTGAAGTCATACAATAGTTTTGTGTGAAGAACAGTTGTGAAGAAAAGTTATTTACTGAACATAATCCCACTGCTTGTCCTATTTGAATGTGTACACAGATGTGAATTATAACTTGAGTCATGTACTACTTTTATGATGCATTTGAAAGCACCAGGTCACCATTCAATTTCAGTAGAAAGTTAGAGTGAAATGTGCTAAACATCTAAAGCCATACAGGTTTGGAACAACATGAGGATGAATAAATGATGAGTCAGAATGAATGAACTATTCTTTTATTCTATTAGAAGTCTACTGTCAAACCCTAGCAGACAAAATACTTGCAGGCCCTCACTTTTCACAAACTCATTAGTCCAGAGTTAGCTATTACTCTCTGACTGCAGATTTCGTACCCCATTCTTTAGGAAGAGGAAAAAAACATTAAACAAACAATTGTGTTTTTGCCTTGATGATGAATTGATTAATAGCTGTTTTGTGGTAGTTGTTGGTTATCTCACCATGTATATGATGAGTTGGTGAGTTGTCCTGCCTCTTTTCTTTTTCTTTCCTAACCAACACACCCTCGAGGGTCTTTCTGTGACGACATAACCAGAGGATGGCACAAATGTTTAATTTTGTTTATATTTTTTTCTGGTGGATGAAGTACAAAAATGGAGAAGAAAGCCACATATTAAATGTCATGTATTTATATTTACAGAGTTAAAGATTTTAGTTCTTAACAAAAGTTTCTTTTGGTATCTTCATTTTTAAGGCCCTATTTGATTCATTTCCAGAGATATAGGGACTTCAGTGTGGCTCCTTAGTGTAATTGTACACAAAACTGAAATTGTACTCAATGCAAATGTGGGTCACTTTGCACATATTTATTTTTTAAGAGTAATGTCTGAAAAAAAAAAAATAATAATAATGTTGAAACTAGAAATGTATTTTGTTTCCCTCTATCAAAACAATTGCATAGAACATACGACTGAGTGGCAAAAATATTAGGGATGTACAGATAAAAAATTTCTCAGCTGATACGATTAGTCATAATGACCTCTGTCGATACAGATTATAGTTTTTTTTTATTTTTTATTTTTTTAAGTGTTCCTGTGGCTCAGTGGTAGAGCATTGCATTAGCAGCGCAAAAGTTCAAAAGTTCAATTCTCTCTCTCTCTCTCCCTCTCTCTCTCTCTGCGTGTGTGTGAGATAAAGTGACGGCGAGTCGTGCGCTTCACACTAGAGTTTACGGTACGTCAAATATAGGTGCGTTGCACATCTATTCAGATGAACTGAAAAATTGCACAGATCGCTTGATGGAGAGAGAAACTCTGAAACGCTCAGTCAAGAGTGTTCGGCGAGTGAAAATATATCTGTGCTAAACTTATACTTAGCCTCCTACTCACACACTGGCGAGTAAAATTTGAGAATTTATTAGCCATTGGCTAATATTAGACATCATTTAGTCGCCCAGAGTGAAGATTTAGTCGCATATGCGAGTGATTTACTCGCAATGTAGAGGGTTGATATCCAATATTTCTGCAACAATACCATGGTATTGGTACCTTGTCAGTGCTGTTGAGAATGTTAGCACTGTTTCATCTGGCTTTAAACTAAATCACAGAGACATTTGTGTACTTCACGGAATTCAAGTGCTTCTCGCTGGATCTCACAGCGCTTGTCGTGTGATCGAGACCGATCATTATTGTAAGGGTTAGGTTTAAGGTTGGGGTAGGTGTAGACGTTAATAAAACACAATCTAATAGGTAGAAAATTTAATTTATTGTTAACTTCTGGCCGTAGCTGTATGCCTTCTTGCCACGACCGTTTGATCCACGGTGATAATTGGTCCATTTGGCACCATTAACGCTGTTTCATTCCGCTTTTGGTGTATAAAAATTATATCGTACATGTATTATCGTTCTATCGAGGGAAAATTATATCATAATTATCGTTTTATCGCCCAGTCCTACTTTTGATGTTCAAAATTCGCATGCCTGCACATCTAGAAGTTATTTAAGATATCTTAATGTCCTTCTAGATTCTGGTTCTTAAACGTTTCTTTTGGAATTTTCATTTTTAACACCCTGTATGGTTCAGTCACAGAGATATTGGGTTCTCAAATCTCAATGCGGCTCCATGTCCAAATAGTTGAATCCTACCCATTTTTAAAGTCCGTGTAAAGGCAATTCAGAGAATTGCTTCTAAACACATTATAAATGTTAGAAATGTATTGCTGAAAACACATTACAGAGACTGTGAACAATGTAGTACTGAATTGTGGAGTTAGGCTGTTAAAGAGTTTTTCAGCATTTCTGTGTTCAGGATTTTTTGGGCGGGACTTGAAATCATGTCTCAATGACGCACTGCAGCCACTGAGCATGGCCCCTCCCCTAACACTATAATAACCAGAGCACATTAGCATCAGTGGTTTGCCCACTCAATCGCAAGTTACTCTCATTACAGTTTCATATTCTGAAAATGCAGATGACCAAGCCGATTGATTGGAACCAACTTTGCAAGCATGACTTGAGCAGAATCTATCAGAGTGGTAATTTAAACCTGCACATGACACTGCCAGTGTGAAAGCACAATCATGGAATCATTTTAAAAATAATAATTTAAAAGTAGTGCTGTACAATGAATTCAATTGCAATATGGGCTAGTGTCTGTGAATATTAAACTGTATAAAGACTGGTTTAAGTATGAAGTCTGCATATTCTGCGTCTCTCTGTGTGAATAAGCGGTGCAGTTTAATCTACTACACATAGTCAAGCATGCGTGACGCTTGAGGTGTTTTCAACATCTGCCGTCTCAATATATGAGGTCATGAACACATGAACTTCATCTCCAGAGCTGCTCTGAGAGTTCACTTGACGTGCATTTCACCATTTTCTTTGATAAAAGTATCGGAAGATACACACAGACACTCAAAGCTCTTCACTACAACCTGCCAAAATAAAAATAATGATAATGTTAATGATGATATACAGTGCAATACAGTTCTGAAAGAAATAACGCATTTCATAGGCCACTATTATTGTTAAACTTTTAATAAATAAATTACTATTTTATAGGACCCTTCGTACTTAATGTGATGAACTACACCTGTGGTTAATGTACTGAGACGCCTGTGTGAACTCGAGGGGAACTGACTTCACACATTAAATATAGGTTGTGTTCCTGTGGGATGTTGGTGGTGGTTTTGTGATGGAGTTTGTAGTAAGAA